CTGGAACCAAATTGCTGGGTCTAACCCAGGCTCTGCCACTTACTAGCTATGTGGCTTTAAGGCAAGTTGCTTAGCCTCTCTGTGCCTCAGTTTAGCCATTGGCAAAATAATACTAATGGCAGTCCTCAACCAACAGGGTCAGTGTTAAGATTAAATGAGTTGGGACATGCAAAGTACCCAGTGCTGCATCAATCCACTGCATAGTGCTGTTTCTTCAGAGCTCTGTGGAGGGTTTGCTGGGGGAGGCAGGCATAAATTTTGATTAAAGCTTCCTTTGGGGAGTTGTAGGGTCTTCAGTCATCCTTGCTTTACCTGTCCTGTGTCATCTAAGATATCAACAATGGCAGGGAATACATATAATAAAGTATAGACCTTTGTTACAGTGGGATATTGTTACCAAGAAACTTCTGGAAAAGCTTTTCCTGTTTGTTGGAGTTAAGAAGCAGAAAGAAGGAAAGGGAAGCTATAGGTGGTGGATCAGTGAATATTCACTGGACGCCTTCTGTATGTTGGGCTCTATGTTGGTACCGGTGACACAAATACAAAAGCCTCTTTTCTGAAGTTCAATGTGAGTGGCACCACTCTAGTCGCTATAATACAGCACACTGCCTCTGCTATCACTCCTCAGGCATTTATTTTAGGTTAATCCCCGCAGCTGAATTGTGGGTCCGATTTTTTTTTTCTTTCTATTGATGTGTAACACACATACAGGAAAAGTGCACAGTTGCAAGTGCACAGCTCCATGAGTCATCAGAGAGTGAACACACCATGTAAGCAACACCCAGATCAAGACAGGACATGACGGGCCACCAGAGACCCCTCTCCCACTTTGTGTTTCCTCCCAGTCATTACCTTTCCCCAATAGTGAGCCACCTTCCTGACTTCGAGACTGCTCTGCACAGAGACACACCTTCAGGTTTCCTAGCTGTGTGCTGGTCCCCAGCTGAGAGAAGCTCAAGGAGCCAAGCTGAGAGATGTGATGAGATCAGTCGTGATGGGAAGTGCCTGGACCATGATACTGGTCTAGTGTTTGGCACCCTGTCTGTGTGGCTCCATTTAAGCCTGCTTTGACGTTTTCAAAAAGGAAAAACCATTCTTGGTTGCTCTGTAACAGAGCCAGCAGAGCAAAGGCAGCCTTCCCAGTGGTCTGAACAGGCCTCCATCCAGAGATTTGTCTCCAGCCTGTCCAGTGCAAGGCCAGGAACTCCCTCGCTTGGCCGGCCTGGCTCCTAGAACATTTTATGAAGACAGGGATATTAGCAGAAGAAGGCCCCCTTGTACCTTGAAGTGGTGAGCATTAGCCAGGAAATAGCTTAGCAGGGTTGAGTATAGTTAATGCTCTCTAAGTTTTCTTCTCTCATGTGGAGGGTTCAGGATCTTGGGAGAATGGGAAACAGATGGGTAGGTTTTGCCAGAACCATCCAGGACATTACAGTGGGGAATTTTGATCAGTCATGAAGGGAGATCCTCTGAGGGAACTGAGAGAGAATAGGAAAGTAATTGTTCCAGTTATCTATTGCTGCATAGCAAACCTCTCCAAATGTAGTGATGTAAAACAACACTCATTTTATATGTTCACGGAGATCATGGATCAAGAATTCGGATGGGGTATATTAGGGGTGGCTTGTTTCAGCTCCATGATGCCTGGTGTCTCAGCTGAGAACATGGGCAGAAGGAGACTGGGATCTTCTGGAAGCTTCTTCACTATGTGGCTGGCACCTGGGCTAGGATGATGCAAAGGCTTACCTAAGCTGAGACTGTCAACAGGCAGCCCACACACAGCCTCTCCATGTGGCCTGGGCTTTTCATAGCACAGAGGCTGGGTTTTGGAAAGGAGCATCACTAAAGAGAGAGTCTCGAGAGCAAGTGTACCAAGAGACCCAGGCAGAAGTTGCATGACCCTTTCTGAACTAGCTCAGAAGTCACAGGGTGTAATTTTTGCCACATTCTATTGGTTACAAGTGAATCACTAAAGACAACCCACATTCCGGCAGAGAAGAATTAGGCTCCATCTCCTGATGCGAGAGTGGTGTGGGATGGGAGCTTTTGCTGCAGCCATCTTTGCAAAATACTGTCTGCCACAGTAGCTGACAGCCAGGACTCTGCAGTAAGGCACACCTGGTTCCATTTCCTGGATCTGACGCTTATTAGCCATGTAACCTAGGGTAAGTTTCTTAAGTACTCTGTGTCTCACTTTCCACATAAGGAAATTGGAATAATAGTAATTCTGACCACATAGCATTACTGTGAGAATTCAGTGATATGAGCCATGTCTAGTGTTAGTAGAATGCTTGGCACATCATAAGTGCTCATAAATGTCACTTTTAACAGAGACTGAAGGAAGTGATTGTTCAAGACCGGCCTTACCTGTGACACATTTCCTTAGGCCTGCTGTATGTGAAAAAGTGGGCCACAGAATTCCCATACCAGGTTGTATAACAGCCCAGAATCCACTAGCAGTTAATAGGGATTATGGAGACCAAGCACAAGGGTGCAGCACTTTACAGTTTACAGAGCACTTTATACTCATCCTTTGTTTAATCCTCCAAAAAAGTATGTGGGCCACACAAGTCTCTTCCATTTTAGAGATGAGGTTTATCAAAGTGTAACCTACCCAAGGTTACTAAGCTAATACATTATAGAGAAAGGTTATGACCCCAGAGTTCCACTCTAATGTCCCGTATTCTTATCTTCTTTAATGATCTCAAGAACATTGTAAAGTTATCAAAGGAAAAATAAAATTTAATTAAAATTTAATAAATTTAAAAGGTGTCCCCTAACCCTAATAGAAGTGGGAGAAAAAAGGAGGCTAGATTTCCGAAATCCATGGAATGTCATAGCCAGAGCCAGTAGACAACTCCCAAGCATAAAAGGGGACTTCAAGTTGTCATGTTTCTTCAAAAAGCTTAGAGGCATTCTTTTAAAATGCCCGAGAATGCTTTTCAAATATCATAGCTAATCATTCAGCCAAACAGCGCCTTTTACTCTGAGAACTCCAAATTCTCTAATCACCCCTCACTTCTTAAAACCAATAAACTAGCGATGCCCTCTTCCTTCTGTCTTCCTTCAGATTTCAGTCCACCCACATCAACATCAAAATGCACAAATGCTGGGAAGGCTTTGTAAATCCTTTCTGGTGTTTTCCATTTATGTGACAGGAGGAAGGATGACACTTCCATCCATTTTTGGAAACAAACCAAAACACCCATAAATATTCAAGCTTATAATATTGACTTAAAGCTCAGTTAGAGCCCAGGCTGCAGTCAGCTCTTGATTATCCATGTGTAACTTATCCACAGCTAATTTTAAAACTCAAAATTACTTCCTTATTATTTGTGGCACACCCTTGGCCTCCTGTGCAGGTGTCAGCTCAGGACACAGTGAGAGGAAATGGAAGTGTGCCGAGTCAAGGGTCTGACTACTCGGATTCTGCTCTTGACACACTCCTGATTAGCTGGGTGACCTTGAGCACATGTTTTTACCTGCTGGGACCTCCTATATTTTTCAACTATAAAATGAAAAATTTGGCTTTATGCTTTTTAAGATCTCTTCCTGCTCTAAAACTCCATGAGGTAGCAAAGTAGTCAAAAGAAATGGGAAGAAAAGTCTACTGCAAAGATCCCGCATTGAAATCAGTAGTCCAAACTACCCATTTCCCCAATTAGATATTGTGTGGCCTCAGAACTACTGAGCAGCAGATGTAAGCCTAGCACCCAAGAAGACTCCAATAGTTATTTCATGAATTCCAAGGCCAAACACACAAGATTTCTGTATTTTCCAAATTATGATTCTCTTCAGTGAGCACAAATAGTCAGCTGTGTCTGAATGTGGAAAGGCTCTTTCTGTGTTTTTCAGAATGTTGGGTTGCCTTTCTGATGAAGCCAAGGTGGGGATTCAGAGCTGTGTGTCTGTGGGAGCCAAGACCACTGCCTATTCTCCCACCCCTGAAAAGATCCAATGCAGGAATCAGCCAGAAAGCTGTTGAGTCTTCTTCCCTTCCCCTCTTCTCTCTCCCAACCCTGGCCATTCTCACAAGCTAGAAAAGATGTCTTACAAAGGAGAAATCTTTGATGTCTTCTTACTCCTGCCTTAAGTATGAGCTCCCATACCTAAGCTTTTCTTGTAAAAGGAAGGAAGAACCATGGAGTGATGGTGGGAAGGGGCGTTAAAGTAGGATGAGAAGTGGGTGTGATGGGATTCCACTACCATCCTCTTTGATCTAATGCATTTCAAGTGTAAGCTCTGTGCTTGACACCAGAGTGATAAGGAACAGACATCATCTAGATTATTAAGAGGTCTTGGATTTGGGAAAGAGTAGGGAGAGACATATGTGAACATGAGATTCGTCAAGTATCATAGATGCTATGAAAGAAAGACACATAGGACCAAAGGGTATGGTAGGGGCACAGAGGAGAAAGCACTCAGCTTCATCCAGGGCCAGAATTATAAAGAAATGCGGCTAGAGGAGGTAGTGCTTTATTCTTGGGCTGAAGTACATTAGGTCATGAGATGCAATATTTTAAATGGTTTTTCAGTTCTTAATAAGTGTTGACTCTGTGATCCAGGGTTAAGTAGCATTGAATGACTGGCTTGCCAATCCAAAAATTCCTTATATCGTTATTTCTATGGGTTAAGATGTTCTCTGTTCTAAACAACCGGTAAACAATCATTAGAACACTTAGTGTTCTTTAATTTTGTACTTCCTGTGTTGTGCAAAGAGAAACCTCCCCTACCTGAACAATACATGGTAGAAATTGCAAAAACACGATATAGTTGACCTTGGATGTTTTCAGGTCTGAACAAGTGTTCCCCTGTTTGGGACCCATGCTTGCTTTCAGCTAAGTGCAGTTTGCCTGGAATAAACTACAGATGAAAGAACATACTTGGTGGAAATTCTATCACCCAAGAGAAATGTGAGGAGGGGAGTCGGGTCCCCCTAGCCTATTTGTGGATTTGTTTATACTCCCTCTGGTGGCTGATTCAGACCTGCATGTTCTGTCCCTTTGGCCTGAGAAGCAACCACACCCTACCTGATTCCAGAATCCCAGAGTACTGCTGGGATGGTGGCCATGTCCACATGAGCAAAGGTATGAAGGTTCAGCATCTGTTTGGGTTTGGATTTTAACTAGCTATTGGCTATGATGTTTGAAAACTCTTGATTTAAATTAATATATCTTATTCTTTTTGTGCCTAGCACACAGTTTGTGCTATATAGTCTTGTCAGACTTCATAGGATCATAGACTTCAGGCTCCTGTTATAGTTAGGCTCTTTTAGGTTTCAAGAAGCAACAATTAAGTAAGGTTACAAGAGTATCCCAATGGGATAAGGATACTTGTGTCTAGGAACCTCTGTATAGCTAGGCCTTGGGAAATTCAAAATGGACAGAAGGTTCAAAGCTAGTGAGCTATAACCCTTAAGAACAAGATTTTTGGGGTTCAACAAACTCCCATCTCAGTTCCACTCCCTCCCTCTGCAGATTTTCTCATCATCTACTAATCCCTACCTTCCAGCTTCTGCTTGCTCATACTTCCTGCTCATCACATTGACTTGCATAGGGCCCATATTGTCATATGTGACTTCTCTCTACCTAATGACTTCTCAGTTTTAGCTCCCTTTGCAAATAGATCCCCTTCTTTTGGTATTTCCTGCGTTTATAGTTAATAGACGGAGAAATATAATCAGCTGAATTTGTGTCTTAAAGTCAGGCCATGTCAGATCACTTATTGGCTGCCTTGGGTCACAGCCCTACTCCTGGCCATGAATGGGCTTATCTTTGAATGGGCCACAGGCAGGGCAACAGCCATAATTGGAGTATATAGTACAGCCCTGAAAAGAACTTTGAACTCCTTCAGGCCATCATATGGGAAAACTGGTACCCCTGAGAGCTGATGCAATGTGCCTAAGATTATACACATAACATGGGAGTGGTGATGGTAGGGTGAGACCCCGGATTTTCCACATACTGCTGAGGTTACCTTTACACTAAACTGCATGATCTGTTATGTTAAGTCATGTGGAAGGAGTGTTTTCATGCATAGACATCTTTTCACTCACCTATTGTGCTTGCAATTTGGAGACAAATGATCTCTTTCTGCCTCCTTCCCTCTGTCTCCTCCCTGTTCAGGAATCTTTTTTTTTTCCTATTAGAATTTATTCTTATTAGAAGCCATGGCTGGTCTATCTGCCAATGATTCCAAAGTCACTAAACTCAAACTAAGATTGACAGTGAAGTGTTTCACCAAGTAAGATTCATTCAGAAAAGGGAAATTATGCAGCAAACTTCAAATGAGAAAACTTGACAAATGAACCAAATTCTGAGTTGGTGAGGCCACCTAGAATGTTGGTAAGTTGTCAGTTGAAATATTTTGCCCTTTATTTACCTTTGACTGAAGATATTAGAACAACACTTTGGGGCCATCCGGATTTAGGGCATGAAGTAGATGCCTTCGATAGGCTGGGCTTGAAATTGGATTTAAAAGTCTACACTGCTTATGGGTCTCCCAAGACTTGCTTACCAGAAAAAAATTATATGAAAATCCTGCCATAACAATCACCTTGACAAATCTATTTATACTTATGGAATGCTTTAGTTAATGCAATGAGATTTTTAAACAGGAGAAAGAAAGCACTACCATATTCACCCCTGGGCTTAACAGAATAACATGACTTAGTAAACCATCCATGCAGATACTTGTTCATTTATTAAATATTTGTTGAAAGACTGCTATAAGATAAACACTGTGTAGGGAATACAAGGATAAAGAAGACACAGTTGACCTCAGGAAACTTACAGTCTAGGACAAATAAAAAGAGAATTACAATGCTAGAGCTGAAGAGTGTGGACATATCAGTCACAAAGGAGGCCATGCTAAGTCATCTGCATGTCCTGTAGTAGAACTGAGTTGGCTGTGTGTTACATCCCATCAACTCTCTGATAATACTGTCCAGAGGCCATGACCTCATAAGCAGATGACCCTTATGCTGTATGTCAGTTTCCTTTGAGTGAATGCTTCAGTAATTATACTGTATTCTGTTAAGGCTCATCATTGGATATCAGCAAAGTAAGACATCTTCATGGGCAAGAAGGATGATCTTTTCTGAAATCCAAGGTCATTCCCAGAAGGGTGAGTCCTTAGATAGGGACCCAGAACTCAAGGAGGAGCCTCAGGCATGTAAGAGAAAGCTTAGCCTCTCCTTTGCCTTAGGCTTGGCAGTATCCAGACATCTGAAGTATGATGCTGGGAGGTGGGTTTTAAAGGTCAGAAAAAAGCAAGAAATAAAATAAAACAGAAATAAAAGAAGTATTTCTTCTTTTTCCTGGGTCCTACGTGGATGGGAAAAGACGAGTGAGCTTCAGAAAGCAATGCATGCTTTGTGGGCAAGATTGTGCAGCTTCATGGTACTCTGTGTTTAAAGTCCTTGATGGGCCTCCAGCCCAGTGCTCATCTAGGAGTAGTCAGGAACCACCTGTGTCAGATTCTTCTAGGGCACTGGGTAAACATGCACAATTCTAAGTTCTACCTCAAATTCACACCTCTGAATCATGATGGAGAGGGAGTTTTAATGAGTATTTTAGAAGGTCCCCTTAAATTTGAGATTCCCTGGTCTTGACTTTATTGAGATTTTTGTGAATTTCAATATGGCTAAACTGCTTCTGCTCACCAAGCAATGTGTCTTCTAGTGTCATATTTGGAGATACTATATTTTATTATCACATGTGTTTGTATTTTATTTTATTACTTGGACTCTGACATTTCACTAATTAAAATGTTCCTGTATCATGCAACTAGTCTAGGCCAGGGGTTAGCAAACTTTTTCAGTAAATGTTGAATGTTTTCCACTTTGTGGGTTATATAGTCTCTGTAATCAGTACTAAACTCTGTTACTGCAACGCAAAAGCAGCCAGAGACAATATTTAAACAAATGGATATGGTTGTGTTCCAATAAAACTTTATTTGCAAAAATAGGAGGCTGATAGGATTTGGCCTATGGGCAATAGTTTACAGACCCCTATCTAAGCCATTAGACAACTAAATATGTATCACCTTGTAGAATCTCCTTGAATGGAACTACTCTGTCCTGTAATAGTAAAATAGTTGCAAAAAATGGAAACCTGCTGAAGTTATTTTAATGGTTCTTAAACTTGAAGGTATATAAGAATTCCCTTGGAAGATTTGTTGAAGTATGGATTGCTAGGCCCACTGGCAGAATTTCTGATGTAGTAGATCTGGAGTAAAGTCCAAGAATTTGTATTTCCAACAAGTTCCCAGATGATACTGATGATGTTGATCCAGGGCCCACATTTTAAGAACCATTGCCTTGAGTAAAGGGGAAAAGGTTATTAATAGGATTTGTATGAAAATTAGGAGTCTCAGCCACGAGGCCAAGAACACAAGATCAGTTTCACAAGGGTCTACCCAGAGACCTGGAAGAATTCCTTCTGCTGTAGGAACTAGGTTACCATAGGGCTGGCCACACTTGCCGTTATATGGTTCTCTATCCTCTAGATTTCTGCTTCCATCAAATTTGATCAAGTGATTTCTCTGTCAGGATAAACTTTTATTTTTACACATGCTCTTAAAGTCCAAACTTCTTAACCTGATTCATAGGGCTTTTCATGATCTTCCCACACACTTCATCACTCTATCCTCATTCCTGCCATCCTCTATTGGTGCCCAATAGGGACTCTGGATTTTTCCTCCAGATACTCTCCATATCATAATGTATCCCTTGTATAAATACCCATCTGCTCTGTTGACTGTGAGCTTTATGAGGACTGGGACTGTATTTCTCTTGTTTTATCACCAGTGACTTGCACAGACAATGTTCAGTAAATATTACATGAATGAAAAAATGAATAATTTCTTCATCAGATTTGCTACCAGCTACAAGGGAAGAGGTGCACTCAGGGACACAGTGAAGGTAAAAGCCTTTTTGGAACTGATGGTCCAGGAATATTTATAGTAATGCCACTTAAAAGTGGAGGGGGACCACAATGAGATAATATGTCACATTCACTAAGATGGCACTAACCAAAAAGACAGATAATAATAAAGGTTGGTGAGGTTGTGGAGATACTGGAACCCTCATATAGAACTGATGGGAACTAAAATGTTGTTACTCTGGAAAAACAGTTTGGAAATTCCTCAAAATGTTCAATATGAAGTTACGATATGACCCAGTCATTCCACTCCTGTGTGCCTATCCAAGAGACATGAAAACACATATTCATGCAAAAACTTGTACTCAGATGTTCATAGCACCATTATTCATAGTAGCCAAAAGGTATAAACAACTCAAATGTCCATCAACTGATTAATAGATAAACAAAATGTGCATTTATACAATGGAACATTATTTGGTCATAAAAAGGAATCAAGTACAGGTACTGATACCTGCTACGACATGTGTGAACCTTGAACATGTTATGCTAAAGGAAAGAAGCCAAACACAGAAAGCTACATCTTATATAATTCCATTTATGTGAAAAGGCTGGAATAGACAAATCTATAGAAACCAGAAAGTAGATTAATGTTTGCCAGGGGTTTGAAAGGAAGGAAGAATGGGGAGCAACTGCCAGTAGGTATGGGACTTCTTTCTGGTATAATAAAAATGTTCTAAAACTAGATAATATTGGTAGTTACACAATTGTAAATACACAATGGTGTGTAAATTATATCTCAATAAATCTGTCTTTAAAAAGTGGGTGGGAAATTGCTCAGATAGGTCCTAGAAGAAAGAGTGGAGTCAACTCCATGTTCAAAACTTGCTCCTGTATCTACTTTGACAACAAAGTAGAGCTTTGGAATAGCTTGTCTGACAATCAAGGTCATATATATATATATGTGTGTGTGTGTGTGTGTGAGTGTATATATATATATACACACATATATATATATCCATACAGCTTAATATATAGTGAGTTGTCATTAAAATTTTTTTGACTGATTGATCCAATAATATTAAGATGGCACTTAATATTCTTAAATCCTTAATATTAATTTTTTTTCCACAAAAAGCTCAATATCTTGAGTATTTAGCAGAATTTCATGTACCCCATAACTCAGTCTATTCTTATTGATGAAAGTAATGAATTTCCTCAAAATGCTAAAATTGCTTCTGTTGAAAAACAAAGCAAAGCACAGCCTAAATTCATTTAGGACATCTATTGAAAGAAGCTTGCATTGTTTACAGATCTGCATCTGCTTTGTACACAAAGAGCTTTTATATCAAAGCCAACTGTTATTGTATTCTCTCTTTATCATGCAACCTTTCCTGAATTCATGGCTCTGAGAAAATGCAGTTTAGCGAATAAACGTAGACTAGCAAGCTCCCTTTATTTTCGTTGATGTTGTATGATGCTAAAATTCCCATTAACGTTTTCCCTCATCAGTGATATTACGAACTAATTCTTATCACTTCTCAAAGCAAATAAGGAATGGCTTGTGATCAAAAACATTTTACAGAAATAACATATCCAATTTAGGAAGAAAGACCATTATTGCCATATAAGGATATAAGTATGAAAATAGTCATATTTGGTGAGGATTAAAAGCTTAATCAAATGGAAAATAAAAAATACAGCAATGTCAATCTGATATGTGTTTCTGAATCTGAAAAGTGACACTAGTATAGAAGAGTTAGAAATTGCTCAGTTGGTTCTCATTGCATGTGAACTAAGAGCCCACAGCTGGACAGTGGTTTATCAATGGTTTGGGGTCACTTGGTCACTTTCCAGCTTGGCCTCCAGCCCCAGGAGACAGGAGCCATGCTATCTGAGAAACCTTTACCTCCCAATCAAAATTATCTTTTTTTCTGAAATTCTACCATTATGAAATATTATAATTAAAAATTTAAGGGTTTGTCTATTAACCAGAATCTTCTATTAAACTGTAAATTGCCCCTGACAGGCTTAGTTGGCAGCCAGTGCTTTGCCAAGGGAATTGGAGCACAGAAAATACGCAAATTCTCAGTTGATTTTAGATTAGATAGTGCTTTCCTCTCAGGCTCTCAAGCTACTCTAACAACCCTTAGATAGGCACCCCCTTGCCAACCCCACTCACAGTATTGAGAGGAAGTCCTTTCTGAGGACCCATCTTGCTGGAATTTCCTCAGCCAAACAGTTGTCACAGGTGATAGATGTGACCCAAGGTGCTCCGGGGTTTGTGTAGTGTGAACATGAAGAATCTAACCTCTGTTCAGGTGACTATGACTTAAGGTTCCACCATTGAAGCCAGGGAAATAATTAAGAGTGGCATCTCTTCTAAGTTTGATTAACAATTTATTAAGCCATAACTGACATTTTAAAAGGCCATTTTAAAGGTGATTAGAAGCCATATATTCAGGTATTTCATAAACCTCTCCAGTTCATGCCAAATGAACAGTGACTTAAACAAAAGTAGTTCGTAAGCCTTAAGATTTTATGAACTTTTCTTATCAAGTCTCTCTTCCTATGTTTTGCTCCTTCAGCCTCAATCTATTCCTCCATTTCTTCTGTATCATTTTTTTTTTCTGGAAGCTGCCTTGGTCTTAACTCTTTTTCTACCTTTTTCCCCAGTTCTTCTTTTAGCATCCCCTCCCTCTCTGCTTCTTGTTTCTTTCTCTGTTTCCTCAGTCTACCTTCTCTTTAAATAACATAATATAAAGCAAATATAAAGAGTTGGTCAACAAACAAACTTTTGTTTCAGATATTATACATTTTAATCATAGTATTCTTATTTGTTTTTTTATAGTTTATGGGTTAGAATTTTCTATCTTTTCATTTATCACAAGCATATTTTTCTTTAAGTCATTTAGCATAGTAATAATAATAACTACTTTAAAATTCTTGTTAGTTAATTCCAATATCTGGGTTGTCTTGGGGATTTAATTAATTGATTGTCTTTTCTTTTGAGAGTAATTAACATTTTTCTGGATCTTCGTATATTGAGTATTTTGGATTGTATACTGGACATTGTGAATGTCATGGGGACTCTGCTCTCTGTTATATTCCTCCAAAGATTATTTCCCTTTTTAAGAAGACAATTAAATTGGTTGTACTGAAACTGCAAAGTCTGTCTTTTAGGTGCTAACTCATATCTCAGTGTAATTATTTTGTCTCTACCTGGGATACTTTGAGTCTTCC